ATTGTTCCTCTATTATTTCTTTCCATTTCAGTTGGAGAGCGAAGTGGTAGGGAAAAAAACCACCTGTCACCAGGCTGTCACCAAGAACTCGTCCGCCTAGGCCCTCTGCCTTATGCATATGATTCCGCATGGGTTCTATATGGAGCAGTTCCGGTGGGCTTTTCTGCTTTTTTCTTCACTGCGGGATCATTCACTACATTGTCATTGGTCCTTGAGCCATATAACTCACAATTTTTGAACGCGGGCTCCGCCCTTGAACTTATATTTAGAGTCATTCTTTTTTTTATCCAGTTTGTCTTCATAGTCTGTCCGTTCCACTCTATTTCTTGAAGTTTTGGCTTGTCGTAACGTCCAAAGAGGAACATTTTAACTCGTGTCACTGTGAAAACCGGAATATCGGAACCTCGTCGGCATCCGAAAAAATTTGGAACATTTTCGGAATATGAGTCGAGTTGAAACGAGAAAACCTGACCACATGAGCTCAAAAAGCAATTTTCAGCTGTGGAATGATGAATTAACCGGTTCCAGCTGCTTTCTAGAACGACGGCATGAAAATGCAACAGAAACACACGGCAGTAATTGTAGTTGTAATAAGTTGTAGTTTATGGTTGATTTGTGTTAGTTCTGGTTTCTGGTTCGCCTTTACAGGTGGAACTTTTATTGAATTGGCCTGAAGTTTCGACTAGATAGTCGATTTAAAGGTCTGAAAGTGGTTGGAAGGTAAGGTCCACCACGTGTCTCTCAACGCAGGGCATGCCAACGCATTGTGATGTATTCCTGCAAAATACCACCCTCCCTCCCCATCCTACCTACCACTTTCCTAGATTTTCCCAACTTCCTACCAGTTTTTCCGGCATTTCCCGAAAATTTCTAGTTTTTCCCCAAAAATTTTGCTGTCGAGCGGGGGGGGGGGAGGTCGTCAGGAACTAACTACTATTTTCAACTATCGAAAGTAGTAGTTGTATAGAACCTTGGCGGGGCATCATCTAGGGGTTGGGGGAGGAGGGTACAAAACAGTGGTGAAACGGGAAAAACCGCAACAAGTCAACAACGAAACAACGAAAAATGTTTTCCCAACGCCGCAAATCGCTCTCAAAGACAAATACGACCCCCTCCCCCTTTATAGCGTCCGTGAAACAAGAGAAATCAACTAACAAAAAAATTTTTCTCAAACTAAATACGACCCCTCCCCACCCCCGCCCCGTTGGTTATCACCACAACGATGGCGTGTCCTGCTCTCAAGACAACGTTCTGTTGGGAATCTTAAATATAATTTCAATGAATCTAGAGAATTAACTCACCCAGGAGTCTACTTTTTGGGAAGAAATATCTGACCACAATCCGTGATGCGATCCACGGCACTACATATGCCATTGAAAAGCGCTGCTTGGATTTTCTCACTACAAGCAAATGAGAGAGGTTGTTTGGAGCTTCGCGTTCCGCCGACGATCGAAGATCAGCAACGCAGCCGCGTTTGCCAAGGATTCAAAGATCGGATGGGCCGTGCACAACCACGTTGCGAAAATAACCGCTGGAACAGAGCCATTACCGATTTCACGGGGGTCAAACGAACCTAGCACGACCGTTTACGAGATGATCAACGAAAGCTTCGAATAGTATGATGTTATTGTGATGTTTATTGTGTCCCTTGAACACGGAGTGCCTACTGGCAATTCCAGCGCGTTTCGGGGACAAACGCAGACGTTACTGGCGCCCGCTCGAGCAACCGATGATCAAAAGGAGCGCAGGTGATACATGTGAATTTGGGTTAATCGTGGGTGCCTTACGACGTTGATAGGTGGTTAAATGCATGTTACGGCTTCTCCATGAACCTCGGCATTGTGATGATAGTGAGATATCCTGGTTGAACTCCACACGAGGTTGTTAATTAACCTTTATTGGCCTACGTTTCGGCGGGATCGCCTTCTTCAGAGCCTGAAAGGATCGAAGCAATTTATGACTACCCGACCAAACGTTTCCACTACCTTACTGAAGTTCGAGTACATTACAGGCCATAACCTAATCGTAAGAGGGGGCACTCACCGCAACACAGTCCGATCTTCGAGACCAGCGAGCCGGCAGTAGGACCTCCTCGGACTGTTCCTCATTCAGGGTCACTCTTGGAAGGCCATCCTTATATAAGGTCTCAGCTCCCGCGTTATTGTGACGCATTCCCCCTCCGGTTCATTTTTGGATTGCTGACCTCAATCCAAAATGCCTCGAGGGTTTTGCGTGCAGATGTCTGCGATTCTCGCCAAGACCCTGACCTCGACCCCAAATCCGATGTACTCATCCCCGCAACTGCAACAGGTGATCTTGTGGACCACCCCCGAGATGGTACAGTCGCCCTCCCTGCCAGTTGGGCAGACTACGCAATTGGGGGTTGTACATAGGCGATCATATAGCCGATTCCTAACCAGGCGACGCTTCAGATTAGTGGGTGGCACATTTACAATGACCACTGTGCTTTCCAAGCCAGACCTCCCCAAGCACTTCCTGATGGAAGTGCTGAGTTCCTCAGAGACGTAGGGTAAAATGAAAGGGACTTTCATTTTAGGGTTGATAGGTGGTTTCTACGAATTGGCCTATGCTACAGAGCGAATCGAATTGTGCAGGCGCCTAAGGTAAAGCTTGAAGTTAAGATTTATTTCTAGACAACATTCTGACGAAAATCCTGAAGAGAATCTCAAGCAATCCAGAGATGAACTCACCCCAGACCCAACCTCCTGCGTAGAAAAATGCGGTCAGAAGTGGTGATGCGAACAGCGCAATCCAACCAGCCATTGAAAAGATACCGCTCGTTGTTTCTCACTACAACCAAGTGAGGGAGGGTGTTTGGAGCTCCACACGCCATTGCCAAAGCGCCAAAGATCAGGTGGGCGGGCACGCCATGCGTTTCAAAGATGAACGCTGCACCAAAGCGACTACCCGGCTGAGTATCACGTGTATCCGCAGATGCCAAACCGACACTTGGATTTGCTATCGATGGTCAGACTACTTCGTGAATGTTCTCAGCGAACGGTATGAAGTTCATCGTGTCCCTCGAAGCACGAGAACTGGCAGACTGAGCAGTTTCACTATGGAGACGTTATTAGTACCCGCTCGAGTAACTCGATGATCAACGGGAGGTATCGCAAGCGGCTAAAGGAGGTGCCGAAGACATGCTCGGCGCGTTCAGCGAGGGGGGGGGGGGGGGTAATTTGCATTCCGCTCCTTCTCATTGTCGTGTACATGGTCTTATAAGAGCTGACAGGTTTTGGCTCGATGAGCTTGCTCCAGCTACACAAGAGTTCACAGGTTTCACCAGAGTGGAACTGCCCTGCAAGCTCTAGTCGGAAAGGTGATAAAGGTGATAAAGACGCCAGTCTGCCCTCTCATGAGTATGACACGTTACTGACGTCAGAGAGAAACTCTGGGGTGGGTGAAGAATGATCCACGAAGCGAGGAGAACTACCGTTATGTTAACACATTCCGGAATACGTGAGAGACATGGTATGTCATGAGTTTTTCTCTCTGCGCTGTTTTATAAGGTCCATTTGGGATCAGAACGCGTTTTTGGACAAGGGTTACGGATATCTCATATGGAAAAACCAGATGGAATCACTGACACTCGATGTAAGTGACGAAATGATGCGGAGATCCTCGCAGAACAGCAATCCGCAGTGTGTTACGGTAAAGGTCTGCACATGGGAGCCTTCACCCCAAGGCTAAGACAGAAGTTCTCATCCCCATCACCCCATGCCATGAAAGAAAAATGAAAAAGGCGCTAAAGGGGGTGTATGAAATGGACGAGATTTGCTTCATTGGCGAGCCATCGGTGTGAGGTGTTGTGTCCAGTGTACATCCCTGATAATTTCCCAGCGGGGGAGGTTGGTCGTATTTGATCCAGGGCACATCGTTGTTGGGGAATCCCCAATAGGGGGGGTCGTATTTGGTCGCCAGGAGGGGGGGTCGTATTTGGGCTGAGAAAAATTTATTTTGATAGTTGATTTTTCTCGCTTCATGGACGTTGTAAAGGGAGGGGGGGTCGTATTTACGTTTTGGCGTTGTGGGAGTGGCGGTTGACTTTTGGTGATTTTCCTGTTTCATGCGTACTATATGCCGCTCGACGGCTCGATTCGATGAGGAGGGACAGACGGCTGGGGGAGGGTCGTGGGGGGAGCAGAGGACGGAATCGGGGGTAGCATTTCTCGAGAATTCTCCCCATCGGGAGGACGTACCCTGGTTGTGGCGCGTCATAACTCGTGACGTACTGAACTGCGGATCTTTAGTGGCCCGCTCGAAAAATATTCTTACTTGAAATAGGCGTGCAATTGAGGAAAAGAAAAGCAGAAAAAGGAACGAATGGAAACCACTGCGAAGAAGAAAAATCAATCGAAAAAGGGGGCAGCGTAAACACCACGCGATTTGCACATGCATGCTGGTGAGCCAACGTAAACAACAACGACACGCCCACTTGGAAAGGGCAAGGCAATGACGGAATCTAGACGCTGGTAACCAGCAATGAAACAACAAAGGAGCCTCCCTTCACAATAACAGGTTCCAGCGACAATGAAAATATATTTATTACATAAAATTCATCACCAAGTTCCCACCGATTTGCAGTGACTAAGAAAATGGCAAGATTATCAGCATTTAAATAAAAAAATGGATAAATAACAAGAGTACAAAAATAAGTGAAATAGAAGTACCACCACGAAGAATAGAAAATTTTCGGTGAGATAACATTATTGGGCCTTTCAGAGACAGCTTCCTACGTTGGATTGCGCTACATCATTACTTTCTATTGCGGCTTCCGGATCAACATTGCCATAGCCTCGCCTCCTCCGTTACAGATGGCAGCAATTCCCAGTTCTCCAGGTGACAGCGAGTATGCTAGCGATAGTACGATTCGTAGACCAGACATTCTGAAACAGACATCAATTAAAATATACAGATGCAGGTAGCGGTCACACGAGTCGAGGAAAATTTCTCTTACAGTACGATTCTATTTATCTTCCTTAACTGAAACCACTCTCCACTATCGTCGGCGGAAGGAGGAAGGTGGAAAAAACAACAGAAATTTTTGTATTGTGACGTGCTTAGCTTTAACTCCACTCGAGATTGATAAATTAGCTTTATCCTAGCTTTATCGTTTTGGCGGAATCGCCTTCTGCATAGCCTCAGAGAATCGAAGCGATTTTACGACTATCTGGCCGAATGCCATCACTACCCTACTTGAAGACAAACTCGAGCTCACATCCGAGGATTCTTGTATTTATACTGTGCTGTGTGAGCGTCAGACTGCAGTAACGTCCACTTTCTTACAGGCAGTGCACGGGACAAAGCTGTCGGGCAAGTTGACACCGGGAAACGCATATCCATACTGTGCGTCCAACCAATGCCGCCAGCCAAGCGCCTAGCCAAGAGGATTAACGTGCTACTTCCCTTCCATACACTAACGAATGCTGATACGTCGTTTCGCTAATCTGTATCGACGCAGGGTTGCGCCTTTGATGATAAGGTGGGCGGAGTATGGAGACTGTAATCTCCATACTCCGCTCGCGCTCGGGTTCCATCACCCTCCGGTTCCGCTCCTGTGCGCTTCTGAGCGGAGAAAAAAGCACGCTACTACTAGTACGTCTGAAAGGGTTTTTGTGACTACCTTATAGACCCTATCGATCTATTTAGGTCTTCATTCAAAGTTCCATGGTAAGTTGGCGGACTTTCCGGTAGAACCGTATGTGGGGGCCACCCTTTATCAGATACTCTGAATGAAGTACAGTCCGAAAGGGTTCTACTGCCGAATAGGACGGTGGTCTCAAAGATCGGACTGTGTCGCGGTAAGCGATCTTACGGTTATGTGATGGCGTGCTTTGATCGCGAACATTGGTAGGGTAGAAAAGACATTTAGTCGAGTGGTCGCGTAGTAAAATCGCTCTGATCCTTTCGGGTCCAGAAGAAGGCGTACTCGTCAAAAGGTAGCCCAACAAAGCTGATTTTTCATTCTCATGCGAAGTCGAAGCAAAGCCCCTTCAATCGATAGAATGCTGAGTATACGGAAAGCCGTACATAGCGAAAATATTCTCAGCAGACCATAAAGACCCCTATAAGGACGATTTCTCTTTCCTACTCCTCACCCTTATGTAGAATGAGAGCAATTCAGCATACCCTAGTGGATGTCCCAAAGCAACAGCACCGCCTTTCACGTTGACTATAGCCGGATCCAATTTGAGCTCGTGCATGAACGCCAGGACCGTTGCTGAGAAGGCCTCGTTGACCTCCCACAATGCGATGTCGGTGGTAGAAAGGTTCGTTTGTTCCAAAAGCTAAAAAAATCATGACGTACTACAAACCGGATAGGATCGACAAAACGACTTCAACCACACGAACCTTTCGTACAGCCCACACAGGAGCGATGGTGAAATCGACAGGCTCTACTCCAGCTTCTGCGAAAGAAAGCACTTCCGCGAGAGGGGAAACACCTACATAAAACAAGGGTATTCAAAGGGTGATGTAGCGACAGATGAATCACTAACCTTCGGGAACTTGATCACCTCGAACAACCACCGCGGCGACCGCGCCATCGTTCAGGGAGGAAGCGTTAGCCGCAGTGATTGTTCCGGAACCATCCTTGACGAAAACAGGATTGAGATTCGGGACCTGGAGAAACGTTAGAACATCAAGTTTCGACTACGGTCTGGAAAAATTCTCCACACCTTAGATTCCACAAGCTTTTTGTATTCCTCGTCTTCGGACACTACTAAGGCAGCTCCCCGTTGCGGCTTGACCGATACAGGTATCACTTCTTCAGAGAACAGGCCTTTCTGAAACATGAAAAATGACATTACTGCCCCACCAACTTCACTAAAACTTCACCCGTAAACCCAACTCAGACGAGCTACAAATAGAAATAGGGAGTAATGA